TTCCGCCCCCTCCATCTTCAACTCTCCATCGGTAAACTACCCTCTTTGATACGATACGCGCAATAAATGTAACAAACACCTACAAGAATTAACTTCAACTCGATTCTCTACTCCTCCGCCCCCACTACAAAATTCCATTCAAACATGACACCATCTCTTCCTCTTTTCCCTAAACAGCACCAAACATGATCCACTCCCAAAAAAACCTCCCCTTTCCCCTTTTACCCCTCTTCCTCCTCCCCCTCCTCCAAACCCTCGCCTCCAGTTTGCAACCGGCCGGCACCTGCGGGCTCGGGACCGCTGCCGTCGGCCGGCTACGCCGTTCGGCTTCTCCGCGCGCTGCCGGGCAATCGCGGCCTTAAGGCCTGGGGGCGCCGGCAAGCGGCGCACCCTCAGGGTCGGCGAATTCTCGTATCGGGCGAAACCTAAAGACCTCGCGATCGAATCTGCCTCGATGTCGCGCCCCCTGCCTGGCGACGCAGCGGACGCCAATTCCCGGCGGCCGGCCGGTTTTCTTGCGGCCCCAACTAGGCGGCCTTGAGCCAATAAAAAGCAGGCCTCTTGCCTGCGGCCGATGGCAGGGCCTCGAAGCACGGACCGCTCGGCTGGGCTCGATAATCGGCGCAATTGCATATCGGATCGGCTCAGCTATCTTCGATGCCAGTCCAAGGACAAGAACATCAGTTGTTATTCCAATATAACGACCAACGGTGCCGACACCGATGACGATTTCTTATCTGAAACCGACGTCGTCCACTCTACGGGGTGCGAGTTCTTGTTCACGACGGTGAAGTATGAGACCGATGCTGAGAACGTGACGTCGGTGGTTTTCTCGGAGGCGGAGCTCGGGTGGTGGGTCCACGGCAAGTGCCTGTGCTCGGCCAATGCGAATTGCACACGTGTCAAGACTCCAGCAGGAGGACCTGGGTTCAGGTGTAGGTGTGGTGATGGCTATCAGGGGGACGGGTTCGCCGGCGGCAGCGCGGCAGCGGGTGTGTCAAAGGTTAGTTCTGTAATTTTGGTGTTGAAGATTAAAGAGTTGACTAGTCAATTTAATGGGTCGGAGGAATTGGTCAGGATGTTTGAATTTGACCCTCGGAAATAATTAGATAATTGCATGTTGAGGATTTGTGGAGGAAGTGAAAGCTGAGAATATCGGGGTGGTTCCACTAACCACATGGCAATGGAGTTTTGCTAACTGACGACGGAGGGGGGAGTTGGCTTTTCCTTCCTTCCTTTTTTTTTTTTTTTTTTTTTTTTTTTTTTCATGTAATAATTGGAGTCTGTATTGTCTGCTTGAGGACAAAGTGGAATAAGCAACCGAGAGAGGTCTTAAGTTTTAGTATTTCAAAATAGGAAAAAGTTGCTGATAGCCCCCTGTCCTGTATCTTTGATAACACTTATCACTTTTAGATTGCAAATAATCATGAATGGAGGGGTTATCTGGAATTTAGCCTAAAATTATCGCTGACCAAAGTATAAGTAAGATTGGGTCATCTGCAATCTGAGACTTGAAACCAGCTCGATTTAAGTTAAGGGTCTAGCTAATTTTTCTGCCAAGAAAACCATATGCTGTCTCTTATAAATAATATTGCGAGGACTTTGGTATCCAATCTTCTAATAGACATTCATACATGGAGTTAGAAATCAATATAGGTTCATGGTTAAATCAACTACATATTCTAGGCCTATTATTTAACTCCAAAGAATGGTGTAATTCATAGGGGAGGGGGTAGAATTATACAGAGAGTGATGTTATCTAATTAAAGATTTCAAACTCAAATCTAACTTCAAACTTTATGATACATGATTCCCCGTGTAATACAGGCACAGTTGGCCCCAAAAAATCGCAACCTTTGAATTAAATTTGACTCAGAGAAGTATTATTTTCACCAGGTTTGGAGTGGCATGTCAATCTCTAGAATCCAGATAGTAGTAAGGAATCTATAATTAGATTAATTATATTACTTGTGTCTATAGGAGCCAGATAATTCTGAATGGGCCTATTAATCAAAGAATATTTTTGACTGAGCCCATCAACATGGTTTTTTTCCCAATGATCCATACATTTAGCAAGCAATTCTATAGTATTTTTAATGTTTCCCCCCCTCATTTTTGTTCTTTTTCCAGTTTCTACTTGCGGGTCTGCAGCCTATATGTCAGGTAATTGTGGAGGCTCCAGTAAAGTTGGTGCGCTCGTTGGAGGTAACTACCTTAGAAAAGAAATGCAAGTAAATTTTCAAAACTTTGATCTCAGGTTTTGAGATTTATACTGAAATTTCTGATTTCAGGGATTTTTGCTGGAGGCGCAATAACGGCAGGCTTAGCTGTTGTCCTCTACCTCATCCGAGGCCGCTGCAGTTCTTCAAGGTTCCGCAAGAGCACCAAACGCTTGCTCTCCGACGCATCCTTCAATGTTCCCTTCTACCCGTACAAAACAATTGAGCGAGCGACCGATAATTTCTCTGACACTAACCGACTCGGCACCGGAGCATATGGAACGGTCTACGTCGGAAATCTCAGCAACGGTGATCTCGTCGCAGTCAAAAAGATCAAACACCCTGAACCTGAAACCGTCGAACAAGTGGTTAACGAAGTGAAGATGATCTCTTCAGTAAATCACCCAAATCTAGTTCGATTACTAGGCTGTTGCATTGAAAGAGGTGAACAAATTTTAGTCTACGAGTTCATGCCTAATGGTACATTGGCTCAGCACCTTCAAAGACAACGAGGTGTTGGTCTCCCATGGACAATTCGACTTGCGGTTGCAACGGAGACAGCCAAAGCCATAGCCTACTTACATTCTGCAGTCCAACCGCCAATATACCATAGAGACATTAAATCCAGTAACATACTGTTAGACCACCAATTCAATGCCAAGATTGCAGATTTTGGCTTGTCAAGAGCTGTAGTAACTGATTTCTCTCACGTTTCTACCGCTCCCCAGGGCACGCCAGGATACGTTGATCCGCAATACCATCAAAACTATCATTTATCGGATAAGAGTGATGTGTACAGTTTCGGAGTTGTTCTTATGGAGATCATAACGGGATTAAAAGTGGTGGACTTCAACAGAGTTCAGAGTGAGGTTAATTTAGCTGCGATGGCCGTTGACAGGATCTCAAAGGGGAAAGTAGAGGAGATCATAGATCCCTTTCTTGGGAAGCAGGGGGATAGTTGGGCATTGGCGTCAATTCACAAGGTTGCTGAGCTAGGGTTTCGGTGTTTGGCGTTTCATAGGGATATGAGGCCATCGATGATGGAAGTTGCGGATGAATTGGAGCAGATCAGGCTGAGCTGCTGGGCTCCGAAGGATGGGGATGTTGTCGTTCCGCAGCCCGTTGAGCTGTGCACATCACCGTTGATGGAAGGGAGTGAGAGAGTGGAGAGTGCAAGGAGTGAGGGAGTGGAGAGTGCAGGGAAGAGTAAGAGATTGGTTGTGAGTGGGAGGATTGAGGAGAAGGTGAATTCACCTGTTTCTGTGCAAGATAATTGGGTCAGTGAGCAGAGTACTCCGTCATCGAGTAGCTTGTTGGGGTATCCAAATCATTGATTTATGGTTAGCTGGTTGCTTTGTGTTCGAACTGGTATGTGCATAATGGGTTAAAGATCGCAATATATGTTCCCGGAATCTGCTGCTTTATATTGATCTGTAAGTAGCCCCTGCTTTAGTGTAGTCCACAAAGGCTTATGAAATTTTTGTGAAGAAATTACCAAGTAATTGCTATAAAGTTGAGAGAAATGTTTATCTAGGCCATCTCATATCTACACTGGTTGGCATGGGAGATTGTTTCAAGTTTTGTGCATATTGTTCTTCTGTGGAGGACCAGGGTGGATATGGATATGGTTGCTAAAATCTATATCCGATAGGGATATATTTCTAAATATGCCATGAAATATTTGGATCCTAATCTGAAGTATCCCAATATATGTGGCTCATATGGTTGCAATAGTTTTAATGCTTACAATAATGAGTTTGAGGTTAATTTTTATTATCAAGAGATCTAAATGTAGTTTTAGTTTTAATGCTTAGAATAATGAGTTTGAGGTTAAGTTTTATTATCCGGATCCTAATCTAAAGTATCTCGACATACGTAACTCATATGGTTGGAATAGTTTTAATGCTTAGAATAATGAGTTTGAGGTTAATTTTTATTATCAAGAGATCTCAACGTAACTTTTCAGATTTAACAAACATATTAATGAATTTTCTTATATCCTATGAGTTATAATACTATTTGATTTTCTCATATCTGTTTTGTATCCGCATGTTTATTTGCTTATATATCTACATGTATATTCATATATAATTTTAACATATATGGTTATAAATTTTCTATACCGAGAGACATATATGTATCAATATTTGTGATTGGTAAACGGATAGAAATAATGTAAGCGTCGTATCCGAGCCATATATGAACAGTTTGCGCCCTTATGTAGGGCTACATTAGTACTTTGTTAGTAACTCAAGAATTTCCCTGTTCATCCATGCGAATTTACCAATGGAGGGCCAAATGTCGACTTTCACATGAAAATAATAGAATATAGTTACCTCTCATTATAAAGGGATCACAATGAGAAGGTACACAAAAACGGCGGTCCAGCCGCCACACGGGGAAACAAGATGATGTATCAACATAAATTACTTGATTATCTTGGTTCTTATATTGTTTTCCTTGTTCTGCCAAACTTTAACCGAAACAAAATTCCTCTTCATGTAGCAACTTACTTTTATTGTAGAACGTAGACCACATTCACATGCATATTTATTGCCATTCCAACTAATAAAAGAAGTAAGATGTGATTTCTCCTCTATATGTTCCACGTTGCTTTTCAAAAGAGCCTTACAATTCCAAAAATATTATAGTGATTCTCTTATGCCTGAAGTGGTCTTTTCATCTTTTCATCAAAGATAAAAAAATGCGAGTTGGCCTGTTTGCCAATATATGAGTCGTATGACGGAGTTGTGAACGCATTCTAGTTCACCAACTGACCTATGCATTTGATGTTATTTCCATAAATAAGCACGCCATAAATATCAAAGACGCATTTAATTGATGGCACTTGACAACGCCTGCCCCATTAAAATTGACAAGGCACTCGATAGGATTATTTGCTAGGCTAGGTATGTAATAATACGCCTCATGAATCAGATTTCCAGTACTATTTTGTTGACTCTCGTTCTATCTGATAATAAAGCTCTAGCCCTCCCTCTTTTTCATGATTGGACCCGGAGTCCTATTTTTATTTTATTTTTCCTTTTCTTCTTTCACATTCGCATCTCTTTATGTATCTTTAGATTGTTTCTTTTCCCCTTTTTGGGAGTTACATTTCTCTCGGCTTGGAGTTTTTGCTTGCTTCAATTAAGAGTATTTTTTATAATGCTCTTAATCATTCTTCATGGTGGGAATTATTAGCATCTAGTAATCTTCATCCATTATATAAATGTTGCATTTAGGGGGTGTTTGGTTGCATTGTTTTTGAGAAATGTTTTCTCAAAAAGTACAAACAATGACATTTCTGTAATTAAGAGTTTTCTATAGATTTCCACAAACTGTGTTTGGCTCAAAAAAGATTTACAGAAATGTTTTCTGTAAAGTATAGGAAAGTACCAAAATTTATAGAAATTGATTTCCTTCTAAAATGGGCGGAAATCTCTTGGAAATCTGATATATTCATTATTTAAATAATAAAACTTATTAACACTTTTCTATAAAGTTAAGGATGTTTGGTTACATTTCTATAAAATTATAGGAAATGTTGCTATTTTCCCAAAAATTATGAGTAATTTTCTTGTTTTGAACCAAACAAGCACAATACAAAAAATAAGAAAATTTGTACATTTTAACTTCTCAAAACTTTTCCTATAATTTTTTTAAGAAATACAAGAAAATCAAATTTTGGATGGAAAACATTTCCTATAATTTATAGAAATGTAACCAAACACCCCCTTAGCATATAAAGTCTCTATGGGGGCGTTTGGTTCAATTTCTATAAATTATAGGAAAAGGAATTCCTTGTATTTCTTGAAAAAATTATAGGAAAAGTTTTAAGAAGTCAAAAAGTACAAGTTTTCTTGTTATTTGTATTTTGCTTGTTTTGTTCAAAACAAGAAAATATGGTCCATTACTTTATAGAAATGTCAAGTTTTCCTTTTCTTTTGTTTGGTTACATATGCTATATTTATAAAAAAGTGGTAACTATCATATTTATCACTTTATAACGGCTAATTTCACATTATCAAGTCTTATAAAATCCTTCTATCCTCAACTATCCATGAATACAAAATTTACACAATTTTCACAATTTAGCTCAGCTATTAGTCTCTTATCAAAATTGATTGCCTCAACTAAAACATACAAGTTGATGTAGATTGTGTTCTAATAACGTAGTAAAGAACGTTTTATCTTATTATGAACATTGTAAATTAGTTTGCAATCTTATTTAGTTGACCATCATCATCGCTAAAAGTTCAATCTGAGCTCCAAACGGAACCAAAAACCCAACAACATTGAGCTAAACAAGCTCGAATCAACATAGTAACAAAAAAAACCCCGGGAGCTCGACAACGAGCACAAATAGCATCCAAAAACCCAACAACATAGAGCTTAACAAACTCAAATTAGCATAGTAACAAAAAACAGCCACGGGAGCTCGACAACGAGCACAAATAGCAACCAAAAACCCAACAACATAGAGCTTAACAAACTCAAATTAGCATAGTAACAAAAAACAGCCACGGGAGCTCGACAACGAGCACAAATAGCAACCAAAAACCCAACAACATAGAGCTAAACAAGCTCGAATCAGCATAGTAACAAAAAACAACCACGAGAGCTCGATGACGAGCACAAATAGCAACCAAAAACCCAACAATATAGAGCTAAACAAGCTTGAATCACCATAGTAACAAAAAAGTTTTAGGCCTCATTCTAATATAAGACCTACAACTATCACTATATCCTTCAAATACACGCTTGAAGTGAGCATTTCTACAATAAAATTTTCTTATCTTATCCTCTCTTGGAGCATAACAAATGGATTTGCGCCTAGCACGAATTCTTAATAAACAAGTTATTATTGTAACCATTGAAGATATAGTCGTATTAGCACACATCATCTTTATTTATTCTTCATCTATACCATCCATCTACATTCGTTACAAAGCAAAAATTATTTAAGATGTTTATGCAACGATACAGAATGATAAAAAATTGATCAACTAACTTACCAACAAAACTCTTGTATATACATGACATTTTGAAATATAATCATGATTGACATGATACAAACGTACTACATTGAAAGTTTGAAAAAACTAAAAAAATATCAAAATATCAACTTTGAAAAGTTTGAATTATAATCAACATTTTTTGTGAACTACCAGTTTCTTCGATAAGAAGCTAATAAAAATATTTTTGATCTCTAGGTTTGTCTTTGATAAGAGATTTTAGTTTGAAAAAAGCTTGTTAGCATATTTTAATTGGTAGTAATTCTATCTCAAAATCTTTTTCTCATTATAGAACTTTTTCATATTAAGGAGTTCTAAATAAAACTATTTTACCACTAATTAGCTACATTAAATAGAGTTCAACATATCATGCATGTCCTTGATTGAGATCATAATAAGACTCTTGTACTATCATAATAAGACGGTCACTCATCTAGCTCGTGCTATGTCACAGTGATTTTCCTTAAGGGCTGTTTGGTTCACTATTATAAGAGGTGAAAAACTCAGAAAACCCCTTCACGTCAGATTTTTAGCCATCCACGTCAGTTTTTTTGTTTCCGTCCATTTCTTTGTGTCGCTTTGGTTCGCTCGGATGGAAGAGGGAAAACTCTGCTGAAATCGCCGCCACCTCAGATTTTTTTCCCTCTCCGATTTCCTTCCCCAACCGAGTGAAATTGATAAAAACTCTGCCACGTCAGATTTTTTTCCTTCTTTGCTTTGTTTATAAAAGTTTTTTTTTTCTATGCGAACCAAACACAAGAAAAATAAATACATTGGTTTCTCACCATTTTTTATGTGCGAACAAAAGCAAAACAATCTATTTCTTGGAAAAATTTAGAAAACTCAAAACTTATATTTTTTTACATGGAATTGCATTTCCCTATATCAAGGAAACGAACCAAACAGGCCCTAACATCAAACGATTCCCCAGATATCGAAGAGCAGCACCTAATCCATATAACTCAAACTAAACCAATAGCTACTAAAAGCCCATTAACTAACAAGAAATCAACCACAACTATCATAAAAAGATAAGATTTTTCTACCATAAATAACTCAGATCCACAAATAGATCAACTATGAAAATAAAAAGATCATAACTTTATATTAATTAGCTGAGAAATGAGAAAGGGTTTTTACCTTTGAGAGGCTTGAGATCAGAAACTCTAGCGCGGCGAGATTTCACGAGAAGGGGAAAAGCTATAGTACCACGAGACAGCTTAGAAAATACCATCTGTGAAGAGGGGAACCCTAGATTTGGGGACGACGAACGAGAGGGAAACGAGATGGGGGCGATGGCCGAGAGGGGAACGAGATGTGAGCGGTAAAAGACGCGAATGATCGTTAATTTGGGGGCGGGAACGAGAGGGTTGAAGCCCTAATTTTTCCGCCCTTCAACAAGCGCGAGAAATCTTTTCGGCAGTGTGAGAAAAATTTTCAGCTAGGAAAATGGGTACGGGCTCAATATAAATAATTTTAAAATCGAGTGTCAGATTTTTGGATAATTTCCGCTCATTTTGAGAGGAAATTGACTTTCGTAAATTTTGATATTTTTCTGTGCTTTACAAAAAAATTTTCTCTGAATTTTTTTTAAACCAAACACACTTTATAAAAATCTAAAAAGAAATTATTTATAAAAATATCACTGTCAGGCCTTTTCTATAAAAATGGCCAACCAAACACCCCCTAAGGGTGATGGTCCCACTATTGACAGACAATATTTGGAGCACCCCAAAAGACCAGAATTATTGAGTACTTTCTCCTCTGATAGAATCTAAATTTCAGTTTTAATAACACGTGCTTCACCAATGCAGCACCAATGAAATTTCAAGTAAAACTTCAAAACAGTACATTGTTGTTCCAAAACAAAACGTGCAGCACAATGATTCATTATTACTTTAGAACACAAGGGACAAGTAGCGGTGCGGGAAAAGCGATGGAGAAAAGGTAAGCAATAATTTGAGCGCTGAGCTAAATTTATAAAATGAAATCCAGAAAAGGCTGTACTGGCTAGCTACTGGAAGGCCATAGCATGGCGACACACTGGGCCTTAACGTAAGCATGTTACGGTTATTTGCTTATGTACCCCTTACATTATGGGTATTTGTAAAACCTACCCTCAAAATTTTAGCATTTGTGAAACTACTCCCAAAATCATCAACTTTATGAAAAAGATGCCCCTAAAATCAACAAATGATCAAGTTTATGCTTAAATTTGACAATTTTGTCGATAATATTTACATTATGATTATAAATTAGCTTATGAAAGTTGATGATTAATTGCTTTGAGGGTAATTTTTTTCAAAATAGATGATTTGAAGGTAGTTTGCAAACAATGAGATTTGGAGGGTATATTTACAAATACCACATGTTATGTTGAGAGAATCCCTTCACCTTTAGGGCCTGTTTGGTTCGCTTTTGTGAGTGGCAAAAAACCCTTTCCTCCTCCTGACAGCCCCGCCACGTCGACAAAACCCGTTCTAGGTTTTCTTTTCCTAGCTTTGGTTCGCTTCTTCCCCTCGTCCCTCCAGCCGCGGAAATCCCCTCCACCTCAGATCTGTTTCTTTCCCCCATTTCCTTAGAAAGCGTCTTCGTGGTTTCTCTTTGATGCCTGCGAGAGTTCAATATTGTTGATCTTGTGCTTGATTTTCATAGAAGAATGCCCTAGTTCCTCAAATCGTTGTTTTTGCTGGATCTTGCTAAAGAAACAGCGGCTTTATTGGAAATTTCGGGGTTTTTTGCTAGATCTTGTTGGATCTTGCTATACTTCAAATCTAAGGTATGATTTAATCTCAACTCAGAATTGATTTGTTTAAAATTTCGTATGATTTAGAATTGACATTTCAAAAATTTTGCACTTTCTATAATTATCTGAAAATTAACTGAAAACTATTTGAAAATATAACTGTAATTAACTAAAAATATTACTTAAAATATTACTAAAATTAACTAAAAAATATATTAATTATTATAAATATAACTGAAAAAATTACTAAAATAAACTGAGAATTATCTTAAATTATCTGAAAATTAACTTTAGATCTTGCCATACGTCATTTAAGTTTTGATTATTGACATTGCATGGGAATGCTTGCTAGGTATATTAATTATTTTAATTTGATTTTAGCATCGTAGATGGATGGTGATGGGGATTGTACTGATGAACAAATTGTTGTTAATATGGTTCAAGGTGCTGCACTATCCGTTTTTGTTATAATAATTACATTGATAAGGAGAATGCAAGCTAGATGTAAATCAATACGTAGTGGTCCAAGTGAGGAAACAGTGGGAAATGACAAATCAACAAAAGTTCACTTTTTTTTATGCAAACCAAACACAAGAAAAAACAAAACATTGGTTTTCCCCATATATTATATGCGCGAACTAAATCAAAACAATATATTTCTTGAAAAAGTTTGAAAAACTCAAAACTTGTATTTCTTTACATGAAATTGCATTTTCCCTATATATAGGAAACAAACCAAACAGCCCCTTATGTCAATCACATTCTTTTTTTGTGGTCACCTAGACCGCACTAAAGAGTGCCTCCCGCATCTTAATCAACTTTAAAGCTAGATTCTCCTAGCGTCTTTTAACCAAAGATTAATTGTTATGTTCAACTACTACTGATGAAATTAACTATAAAACAAACTTTGTCTATTATGAATTTATATTCTCGAGCCAGCCATGTGAGTACGCCAAAACTTAGGTATCAAATGAATAAAATGGCTATATTCAAACTAGTAGAATATACTATCAAAAAACCCAAAAAAAAAAGGTACTGCTAGTAGAAGGTTAATACGCACACGCTTACAACACTACGGGCGTAGTAAAAAAATATGTGTGAAAGAAGGGCATTTTTTAATTTCAACTATAATTGGGAGAGTGAAAAAGGTAATTTAACAAATTAAAAGACATTATGTCTTTTTTTTTCTTTTTCTCCTTTTTTAAATATTTTCTAGAATTTGAAATTAAGTTATCGCGACATTTGCCGCCACCTATTTTTCAGCAAACAACTTTAGTAAAAATCCAAATTTCAAGATCTCATGCACATATTTCCACTTCTACACGAGATTCTACATAAAATACATACAAGGTTCCATTTCCAGTAACAGCAAAAACACATAATGCATGCTAACATATCCAACTCAATAATCCATCCCCATCCTCCTTTTCACGGGCTTGCGCGGCCCCCACACTAAAAACCTATAATTTAACAAAAAGCCCCCTCAACTCTCCCTCCTTTCAAAAACTAGCCCTCTTTAACGACGTCAACTTAACAGACGAACCCAAAGGCCCCGACCCAACCTCAATATCAAACGAGTCATATCTCATAAATAACTCAACAACCAACATCCTCGCGACTAGCAGCACAAAATCTTTGCCAGCGCACTGCTTATTTGACGTCGTCGGGGACTCCGTCTCCGGTCCATTAGACCACAGCACGTGTTTTAGTAACCTCTCCCCCTCTCCAACGAACCGGTCACCGACAAACTCTTCAGCCCTCTCAAAAACCCTCGGGTCCTTCGTAGCGAACGGCTGATATCCAAACAGCAGCTCCCCAGCACGAATCTCAAAGCCCGCGTCGTGGCTCTCCACCACAAAATCCCTCCTCGCTCTCCCGTACTGTAACGGCACCGGCGGCTCGATCCTCATCGCCTCGTAAACCACCGACTTCATCAACGGCATCTCCTCCATCGCTCTCATCGTCACCTCTCCGCCGTTGGATCTAACGATCTCCTCCGCTAGCTTGCCGTGAAGTCTAGCTCCAGCTCGGCCGACCCACTTAACTAAGCCGGGGAAGAGAAATTTCATACCGCCGAAAGCGTTGAAACAAATAGTGAACAATAAATTATGAACAGCTTCTTCCCTCGAGATCCCGAGACGCTCGGCCTCGTCGAGAACCGGACCCGAGGAATCGCGGAAAAAAGCGGCGAGCTTATCGTAGTCGGATTTCACCAAAGCAGCTGGTAATCTAACGGAATGAAGAACGAGATCTTCCAGGAGACTCGGCAGGCCGAGGGTCAAAAGAGGCCCGAGCTGAACAAGTACCCATTTCGTTACCAATTTCGGCCCATCTGATCCCAGCTTGCTCTCCAGTGGATCCTTACCCAGTAAAGACCTCGCGAGAAAATTGAACGCGGCCTGATCGTTAGCCTCACCGAAATCAGCCTTGCCCCTTTTAGCGATCTCAGATTCGAGACCGAGGAAAAGATCCCCAAAAGTCCTCCTGAATTCAGGGATCACAGACTGACGACGAGATGAAAGGAGAAAGAACAAGAGCTTTTTCAAAGGAGCGTGGTTGGGTTCGTGCACGTCGAGATAGGAGAGGGTCCGGTAAACCGCCGTTGAGCTTAGTGAGGGCATGAAGGTGCCAGTGAAATATCTTTCTTCTCGACGAGCGAGGTGTCGAAGAGAAAGAGAGAGCTCGGCGGCGTCGAGGAGGGCGACGACGCGGGGTCGGGGCGACGAGAGGGCCGGGTGGCATGTTGACGGCACGGTGGAGTTGTGTGGCGGCGGACGCGGACTTGAAGAAGTCATCGCGGCCTTGGTTGTAGAACTATAGTCGAAGCGGTCGGGAAAGGGCGATCAGAGGGAGCCGTAGTCGCCGGGATTTTGCGGATGGGGAGCTTCTTCGAGGGGAGGGTGGCAGGTTTTTAGTTGGTGGGTGGTATATGGGTTCTGAGAGAGAGAAGGATTTGAAGGTTGGGGTGCTGAAGAGAAGAGAAGCCGAGGCCATTGTTGCTGAGTGCTGGATGGAGCTCGGCTTGGTTTTGGGTTGAAGTGTTGTCGATCAGAGCCTATTATATAAAGGAATTTGTTGGTGAAAAGGTGGCCGGTGAGGTCGCTGAGGTGGTGGTATTATTATTGTTTTTATTAAATGATCAAAGGGGGGAGGGGAGTCAGGGACTAGCTTTTTGAATGTGGGGGTGGGTCAGTGGGTGCGTGGGTAGACATGGTAAACGTGGGATTATTGAAACGTGGGTAGATGAGGAGGAGGCGGGTGGACGGAAGTAGGAACGAGCCGTCTTTTGACTGGTCCCCCGGTCGCGCGTGCTCATTTTTGCATACCCGCTTGGTCATACAACTTTGGGGTACGGTTAAAAAAGTGTGGAATTTGACTTGATAAAACATAGAATATCTAGTTAATCTTACAAGTAAGAGAGACGTTGACATTCAACTACTAATTGTACTAAAATTGTATCATTCAATATTTTCTCATGTTTAATGTCTAAATTCGATCTCCAGAAACTTAATTAGATCACCGCACCAAATAATTGTTAGTTCTTTTTTGTTCCTCATGCTTAGTATCAAGTATAATCTTACTTAAGTACTTAAAAAAGAGACGTTGGCAGTCAACTACCAATTGTACGAAAATTGTATCATTCAATATTTTCTCATGTTTTCTTTTCGAGTATCATTTTAGAAAACCCCCTCAAATTTGAGGGTGTTGTAGATAATCCTCCTCAACTTTTAAAATATGATAGACCCCCTTAAATATAGGTCGTCTCACAAAATCCACTTTATCTTTCTAGTTTTTTTAAATAATTGCCCTAGTATTATTAATTCGAAATATGAAATGACTACAATACCCTTCGTTGAAAAAAAACCATGTGAGTTTCAAAACCCAACCTAATCTAAATATTAGACTTCGGTTTGATAAGTTTTGACGAGGGAACTAACCTATAAAAAGTTTAAAAGTTTCAATTGCTTCAAACATTACAAGCATAGACAAAAGAAAATAAAAGAACTTTAGTGTTTTCAAAAAAGAAAGAAAAAAAATTTAAATTTACATGTAAACCTAGCAGTGAAAATGGAGGAATAAGAAGAGGGGAAAATAAAATGAAAGTTATTTTTAACCAAAAAAATTAAAAAGGAACACTGATAAATTTTTTTAATGTTTTAGGGATAGTATGGTCATTTTAAAACTTTTGTTCCTTTAGATTCAAATTATATTAGTTTATGGGGGTTAAGTGAGAAAAGTTGAGGGGGGATAAATAATATTTCGAAAGTTGAGGGGGTCATCTACAATAACTCCATAATTGTGGGGCGTTTTCTGGACTTAAAATTGTTGAGAGGGGTTGTCTGAGATGACCCCCATAGTTGAGGACGGTTTTCTAAAATTAATCCTTATTATAGGTAAGAATTATCATCTTGGCATGAAGACATTGTGCTAAGAACAATTGTTGTGTAAAACAGAAAAAAGGCTCCTTGTAAAAGATCTCTAGTGTAATGGACTTAATTCTTTTCTTAAAGCTCTATCTAGGGTATGCCTGATTGAACTTTTTTTAAGGATCTATTCCATCTACTAATTCACGAAAATAAGAAGATGAGATGATTATATAAAGAGTACTTCATAAGGCTCTATAAAAAACTTAAAAGAAAGAAGCTTAAACAAAGGAAAATAATCATTTTTATTGGCCAATAAAATAAGTAATCAATTTTTATTAGTTTTTTTTAATTAATCCCATATAATGTACATAACATTTTTAAATAAAACATGCCGCAACTATTTTAGTCGTAGGATCTTACTGTGTCGAACCATTGAACATTATCGCACGATTGCACTTAAATATTTTCATGTACAGAAATTAGTCGACTATGTCCTGGTGTTTTGCGTGACAATGTTTTGCAACAAACTAGATGTACGGAGCAATGTTGACCGATGACCTTTTTTTTTTTT